TTAGGTGCTCCTCAAGAGATGCCCTCTGTGTGTGTATGTGCCTTGCTGGCTCTGTCAGGTAAGTATTGGACTGTTGTTAGGTGCTCCTCAAGAGAAAGATGAGGCTCTCTGCTCCCTTGGAAATGGACAGCTTCAGAAACCCTGTGCAGGGATTCTGTGATTCACAATGAACTAGATAGCAGTAGGTATGGTTTGAGGATTAGTTTGGATGTGCACACACAAGAATTGGTTATTTAGTAAGCTAGATGTATGCATTTGTTATATTTAAATTTCCTTCATTCAGTAGCATTAGTTCATGCACATATTAGGCACTGTACTAGAAATCAAATGTGTGCAAATAAGGTTCTTCCTATCAAGGAGATCATATTCCAACCAAAGACATGTAAAAAGAAAACTCATAATGAAACATAGTCATAGTCATCCATTGGGTTCTTCAATTTAAAATACAATTAAGTGAGAACGAGCATAGAATATTAAAGTACAAAGAATGAAGCAAGTAAAGAGAACAAATGTGGAACTCTGGAATCCACAATTAGATGTAACCTTTTAAAAAGCCAGATGGACCTTATATTTTGATTTGAATTGATTACAAGGATCTACATATAATCTCCTCCCTGGGGGATGGACAACACAAAAGTGGGTGAAGGGAGACGTCAGACAGTGTAAGATATGACAAAATAATAATTTAGAAATAATCAAGGGTTCATGAGGAAGGGTGAAGGGGGGAGGGAGGGGAGGAAATGAGCTGATGCCAAGGACTCAAGTAGAAAGCAAATGTGGGTTTTTTTGTGTTTTTTTTAAATCATTTTATTGGTGGCTCATACAACTCATCACAACCCATACATCCACGCATTGTGTCAAGCATATCTGTACATTTGTTGACATCATCATTCTCAAAACATATGTAGATCCTTGTAATCGGTTCCCCCTTTCCAACCCACCCATCCTTCACCCTCCCAGTATTGCCGCTCTCAGCACTGATCCTGAAGGGATCATCTGTCCTGGATTCCCTGTGTTTCCAGTCCCTATCTGTACCAGTGTACATCCTCTTGTCTAGCCAGATTTGTAAGGTAGAATTGGAATCATTACAGTGGGGAGGGGAGGAAGCATTTAGGAACTAGAGGAAAGTTGTATGTTTCATCGTTGCTACACTGCACACTGACTGGCTCGTCTCCTCCCCGCGACCCTTCCGTAAGGGAATGTACAGTTGCCTACAGATGAGTCTTGGGTCCCCAATCTGTATTCCCCCTTATTCACAATGATTTGATGTTTTGTTCTTTGATGCCTGACACCTGATCCCTTCAACACCTTGTGATCACACAGGCTGGTGTGTTTCTTCCATGTAGGCTTTGTTGCTTCTGAGCTAGATGGCCACTTGTTTACCTTCAAGCCTTTAAGACCCCAGACGCTATATCTTTTGATAGCCAGACACCATTTTTTCACCACTTTTGATTATGCACCCATTTGTCTTCAGCGATCGTATTGGGAAGGTGAGCACACAATGATATGATTTTTTTGTTCTTTGATGTCTGATACCTGATCCCTTCGATACCTCACGATCGCACAGGTTGGTGTGCTTCATCCATGTGGGCTTTGTTGCTTCTGAAAAAGCAAATGTTTTGAGAATGATGATGGCAACAAATGTACAAATGTGCTTGACACAATGGACATATGGATTGTTATAAAATCCCCAATAAAAAGATGTATTAAAATTTTTAAAAAAGAAAATATTGACTGTCTTCAAATTAGATGTAATGCATATGTCGCTTGGCATGTTATATAAATAAATATCAAATTAAGGGGAGGGGGACAAGGAAAATCTAAAATAGGAAGCAGAAAAGTGTACTACACATTTTGTGGTGAATGTCAACAGGAGTTGGTGGCCAACTACATAGCAGCTAACAGCAGCAATAGCATTTGCTAAACTTTTTGGAGCCTATTGGAGTTTCATAATCAGAGCCCTGGATGTGTGTTGGGCCACTAACCACAAAGTCATCAGTTTGAAATCACCAGCCACTGCTCGCACAAAGATTTGAAGTTGCAGAAACCCACTGGGGCAATGCTACTCTGTCCTATAGGGTCACTTATGAGTTGGAATCAACTAAACAGCAGTGAGTGAATCATTACCATGACCCCAAGAACCACACTCCAGAGTATTGTTGTAAGGTACTGTGGAGTATGTTCCAACTCATAATGACCTTATGTACAACAGAAAAAAATATTGCCTGGTCCTGAGCCATCCTCACAATTGTTACTATACTCAAGCCTATTGTTGTAACCACTGTGTCAATCCATCTCATTGAGAGCCTTTCTATTTTTTTACTGACCCTCTATGTTACCAAGCATGATGTCCTTCTCCAAGGACTAGTGCCTCCTGATAACATGCCCAAAGTATGTGAGATGAAGTCTCGCCATCCTTACTAAACTTTCCAGTTGTATTTCTTCCAGGACAGATGTAGTCATTCTTTTGGAAATCCACACTATATTCAATATTACTCACCGATACCATAATGCAAATGCATCAATTCTTCTTTGATCTTCCTGATTCACTGTCTAGCTTTCATATGGATATGACGCCATTGAAAATGCCATGGCGCGAGGTGGGAATTAAGCCTCAAAGGGCTATTTCTTGCTTAGTAACATATGAAACAGGTTCTTTGCAATGCCTTTGCCCACTGCAGTGCATCCTTTGGTTTCATGACTGCTGCTTCCATGGGTATTAGTTGTGGAGCAATGAAATGAAATCTTTAACACGTCAATAGTTTCTCTGTTTGCCCTGATGTTACTTATTGGTCAAGTTGTCAGGATTTGGGTTTTAAGTATATTGAGATAATTTTCAGTTTTTCAATAATTCATACCATACTCTGTATGTAGTCTTTAATCTTCATCAGTACTTCAATTCCTCTCCCCTTTCCCTAGCAAGGATGTATCAACTGCATATCACAGGTTGATAATGAGTCTTCCTCATATTATGATGGTGCATTCTTCTTCATATAAGCCAGTTCCCCAGATTATTGCCCAGTATACAAATTAAATAAATGTAGTAGAGGATACAACTCTGACATGCATCTTTCCTGATTTTAAACTACTCTCTATCCATCTGTTGTTCTGTTGGTCTATGTGGTAGTTACATAATTTCATGTCAACTTAAAGATAAATACAATTATAGGGGTGGAGTTTAGTTTGTCAATCAGGTCACAGTCTGATGGTGACTCCGTATGGACATGACCCTCTCATAAGTAAAGTCCTAGAAACCTCCCCCCACCCGTCTCTGCCTTTACCTTCCCGATGGCTGACCCTGATTACTGCCAGTCGTGGAGATGTGTCCACTGCCATTGTATCCTAGAGACTTTTCACCCACCAGCCCACCAGCCTTTTCACCCACCGTTCTGCATCATTGCATGGGGCTTCATGCGTCTGTAGAGGGACTTATTGACTAGTATCAGACTTAGGGACTTGAGGTGAACTGGGCTGGGATGTTTTCTTGATGTACAATTACTTTCTGGTATAAAGCTCTTTCCTACACCTATATGGGTGTCACCGGATTTGTTTCACTAACCAACCTGGCCTAACATAGTCTA